GACACCGTTATTGTACTTTGGTATAGTAAACGTCACACTTATTTTTCTTCTTGCCGTATTTAATCAATCTAATTTGAGTTTTCTGGAGATTGTAGAAATGGCCATTGCCTCCTTTCACGGTTCTGTTTTTCTGCCGATGGAGCAATACGTTAGAGACCCCGCCGTAGTGCTGACGGTAACAATAGGGTGTGGACTGGGATTTACATTGTTTCCAGTGATCTTGCGTGGTTTTTTATACGCGGAGTGGTTTACTTTTCGCCTTGTGAGGCGTGTTCGCAGGCGACTGTTACCGTCGCCACACACAGATCTTGAAAGCCCATTGGCAGCTCCACTGAGCGAAGATTTTCCTCTTCTCTTTAGCCTACAGGAACGCGAGGGAGATGTTCTCCCTCACGAATTTGATGCGGTGGATGATATGTTGCATTTGAATGCTTGGGACAAGGGATTTCGTGACATTTTAAAAAATAAACACCCTGTTTCATTTCACGCCTTTTTATTTGTGCGCAGCGAGACTTTTTATCTTGGGGTGGCGTGGTGTGTCATCACCCTGGCACAGTCTATCCCTTTTTGGGTTCAGCAATGGAGCGGGGATGGGTTGCTCGCTCCGTTTCCCACAGCATATAAAATATTTCTTTCCGTCTGTCAGGCAGCTGTTGTGCGATTTGCTGCTGCTTCATTTATTTCATGTCTGGATTACAGCAACGCACATATTGCCATTACGATTTTTTGCATGTTTTTGCCTGCACTTCCTATTCCTACAGATCGTACTTACAGGAAATGGAAGCAGGTATTTAGTGCCTCCATGGTGCGGCTTTTCACCTCCCGACTTTTCTGCTTGTTTTTGGCCATTTTGTGTCTTCTCTTTGGGGAGGAGGGATGGCTGACTCAGGAGTTAAAAGACTCGCGTTTTGATGTCATGACACGTTCATTCTTTGAGGTGATCAGTGCCTTTGCGGGTTGTGGATTATCGTTGTCGCTTCCAGGGACGAGAGTATCTTTTGTTGGTTCTCTCGGAATGTTTAGTAAACTGGTCGTCGCTGCTGTGATGCTTGGTGGCCGCCACCGTACAGTGGATCTGGGAATTGACCTGGGGTTCTCTGTACTTCAAGCGGATCAAAAAATACCATACACTGTTGCGAGACGTCTTTCTCAGTCCTCACCTACGCAAATAAGTGGCATCTAACATGCTGTTAGGGGTGTTTTCTCTTCTGCGTCCGAGAGCTGTATTCGCTAATGGTTATCTCTTTTCTGTATGTACATTTTTGGTGGCTGAATTTTTTATTATTCTTATTATTCTTACTATGTGTATGCTCATAGTTATTTTAGAGTGCGTGTGTTTTTGTGTTAAGCCCCTCTCTCTTGATTTCTTTATAGAACTGTATGTGTTTGTGTTTATTTGGCTGTGCGTATGCGTTGTTATTCCTTCCCCTGTATATATGAATATATTTGTACTTTCGCTTTCACCCCTCTTGTCTTAGCGGGAAGAGCACATAAAATAGGGAGCACGACAGTGTGTCAAAAAAGACATACAAACACACATAATTACTAAATTATTTATTATTATTATTATTATTATTATTATTATTATTATTATTATTATTATTATTATTATTATTATTATTATTATTATTATTATTATTATTATTATTATTATTTTTACAAGTGATGGCGAAGGCACCACCCGGACCTGACTTCTCTCGCGTTGCAGCGGAAGTGCGGAAGCGCTTGGGTAGCTTTGGTGATGTTACCGGCCTCTTGGCTCTCGTCGGCTTTACCGGTATTCTCGGGACGGGGCTCTACAAGTCTGTTTACTTCGTGGACGGTGGGTGTCGTGCGGTGAAGTTTAACGCCATTACGGGCATGAAGGATAAGACGTATGGGGAAGGGGCAAACTTTGCCATTCCTTTTCTTGAAACACCGGTTGTGTTTGACATCCGTAACAAACCCACTGAGGTGATGACGGCAACAGGAAGTCGCGATTTGCAGACTGTTAATTTGGCGGTTCGTGTCCTCTACCAGCCGAGTGTCAACAACTTATCACACGTCTACCGTAACCTGGGCATGGAATACGCAGAGATTGTGTTGCCGTCTCTTGTCAATGAGATTATCCGTGCGGTTATAGCACAATTTAACGCCTCCGATCTTCTTGTGAAGCGTCCTGAAGTGAGCCACCGCATCGCTGTTATGCTGGCGGAGCGTGCGAAGCGATTTTACGTGGACATCACAGACGTGTCAATCACCCAGATGAGCTTTGGGAAGGAGTACACCAGCGCCGTGGAGGCTAAACAAGTGGCGCAACAGATGGCAGAGCGGGCCAAGTGGCGTGTGGAGCAGGCGGAGCAAGAGAAGAAGGGTGCAATTCTTCTTGCGGAAGGTGAGGCGGAGGCGGCTAAGCTTATTGGTGACGCGGTGCAAAAGAATCCAGCCTTTATTACTTTACGCAGCCTGGAGGCGTCACGTGCAATTGCCAAAATGATGAGGAAGCACGGGGCTGGCACGTTTTACCTGGACAGCAGTGGCCTGACTCTCAACGCCAACGCAACTGGTGGCGAGGGGTCAGCAGACGTTCATGGCAGGCGCCTGTAAGAAGGAGTAGAATGGAATGAAAAGAGGAGGGGTGGGGGGGTGGTAAGCAATGATCTATCTATATCTATCTATATTTCAGAAGACATACTTGACTTTGTCTATTTTTTTCGTTGTTGTTATTCTCTTGGGACGTTTGATAGTTCGTGGAGGGGAAAACATGAGGGAATTCTCTGGGGAATATTCTTTTTTTTTTTTACTTTCTAATGTGCGAGTATCACATGTAATATAAATAAATAAAACTACATATTTATCTTTTTCTTTCACGGCTCCTTGTTTTATTTATAGGAAGCATCGTTATTCATTTTTGGTAAGGGTGAATGAAGCCGCGGGATATATGGAAGCTGATGACCGAGATGGTCTCTCGGTCGCTTCAAGACTCTTTGATAAATTCACCCGAGTTGATTCTTAAGGAAACGTTAGAGAATTGCACTGCACTTGACGAGGAGGAGCGAGTGCTGGTTCGTGAAACCGTCTTGGGTACCCTGCACTTTGAAAAGGTCTGCGAGGGCATTTTGAAGGGTTACGGGGATTGTCTGCGACGCATTTTGAGAGATAAAATTTCCATGTATATTGCAGCATATTTGATGGTTTTTCAGTACACCGTCTTGGGCGGCCACCGCATACGTGAACTTCTTTATCATTGCACAACCACACCGCGCCTTGTAGAGTATCTGGAGTACATGCTGAATCCACAGAACCTCAAGGAATACTCCAGTCCATACTGGAAAAAACATTACGATATGAACTTTATCACGAGTACGATCCTCAGGCCCTTGTTGGAGATTACTCCACACGTACGGAAGGACGTCATTCAGTGGTTATTAGATAAAACAGCTGCCCGGGTTCTGAGAGACGATGAGACGGAAGATGTCAATATACCAACGACGCGAACCGTGGCAGCGCACCCGCCGCGGGTGAAGAATGACCTGGAGGAACGTCCGGGAAAAGTTCCCCCAGCAGAGGTACGGGCAATGCTGCATACAATCCCTGAAAAACGACCCCCACGTATCGACTTCACAAAGGCACCGGACATTGTTGCCAAAAGCGGGTGCAGTCCTACTGAACCCATCGGCTTTAGTTTCCTGACACGAGAAAGGCGGCACAAAACAAAGGCGGAAGAACAGCCCGCGTGCCAGACCGAGTCTCCCAAATCCACACGGGAAGAGTGGCGGCAGATGCTTTACAAACCGGTTACCGTACATATGACGGCAGGTGCAATTCGCAGAGAGGCACAGACGTACCTGAAGCGGATGGAGGAACGGGAGAAATCCCTTGGGGAGATGGAGGCAGTGCTGCGTAATTCCCAGGAATTCGAAGTGTGGCAACGTCAAGAAAAGGCACGGGAGATCCAACAGCGTGAGGTTGAGCTTTTGAATCGTAAGGCGCAAATTGAATTTGCCAGTCATAACGCTGTGCAGAAACGAAAAGCCGTTGAGGAAATGAAACGAATGGTATCCTCTCAGGTGCGTGCTGACATTGCCTCACAGTTGGAGTCTTTTTCTGCGGAGAGGGATCGCGAAGCTGCGAGACAACGCAACCAAACAGCCAAGATGCGTCGGGAGTTGGAAGGAAACCGAAGGAAGGCCGTCGAACAGGCACAGCAGGATCGTCTCACCGCCGCAGCAAATGTCAAGGCAGAGAACATGCGACTCAGAGAAGATGCACTCGAAGAGGAGGAACGAATAAAAACGCAGCGCATCATTCTCATTCAAGAAATTCGTCAGTTGCGGGAGCGCAATCTTCAGCGACAGGCTGAAATCCAGGAAAGGAATATTCGGTTGCAGAAGGAGAATCTAGAAGACTCCATGTATGGTGGAATGGGTATTTCCATGCTAAGGGAAAAGCTTCGCCAAGCGAAGGAAGAAAGTGCTCAGCTGGAAGAGGAGCGACGGGCTCATTTCGGTGCCTTGCGGCAAAAAGAACGTGAAAAGGTAGAGGCTCTTAGTGTCCTTTGCGCAAACTGGCGTCAAAGCACGCGCCGCGCGAGGGATGAGGAGATGAAGAGCAAACAACAGGAGGCCGCGCGGTTGAAGTCGAATAAGAATGAGGAAGATGCAAGGCGGGCTCTCTTGCTGTGCGACGCCTTGAAGCAAAAACGAAAGGACAGGCGTACGGAGTTTTTTGCCCTGAAAGCGGAGGAGCGAAGACGCAATAACGAGCTGCTGCTCCTTGCCAAGGGCACTTCGGACATGGAGGAGAAACACTGGTCACAGCAGGAACTTGGCGCTATCAATCGTCTTACGGTCCGTCAGAATAAAGCGTTTCGATCGGGCTTTTGATGATTAACTTTATTGAGCTCATTACCATTCAACTGCAATGCAGGGTCTTTTTAATTGTTGTTGTTGTTGGTAGTTTATGTAGAGTTCATTGTGTGATGCCGGGCATCCTTTATTATTATTGTTAATAATTTGTGCATGTGTGTATGGGGAACATCACGGGCTCTATCTGGGTTTTATTTTTTCCAGCTGGGTGCATTGAAGAAGTGCGTACCGTGTTGTCCTTGTGTTTTTTTTTTGTGCGTGTGTCTGCGGCTACAGTGTGGGGGATGGGATTACAGCTTCAAGGAGGATAGGCGGAGTCAAATTTATTACATGCGAGCCGGCAATCACCCTCGTGAAAATACAAGAATAAAACGTGTACCACACACGACTCGCCGGTTGTCTGTGTATCCATACAAGGACCAGCACTTTATTACGGCGGGGAGTTCGGTGCGACGGTCGCCGAGGAAGAATAGGGAAGTTTATGATGCCTCTCGGAGGACACTCCCACGTGCATCAATTCCAATTTCTAACGGGGCAACGGAAGCCGATTTCCCCCGCAAAGAATTGGAAGAGATTGCAGCCTGGTTAGCCAGCGACGCAATATTTTTAGAGATAGAGTCCCTTGCAGCAAGGACTCATGTAATGTGTCGTCAAGAGGAAACATTGCGGAATGACACCAACACGGCGGCGACCGCGTATTCAGGAAATGGCTCTGCGACACGAAAAAGAGGTCTGCGGCTGGAGACAAATTCATCAATGCCATCTTTACCATTGAATGAGGAGGCGTACGCACGGCAGATATTTGATCGAGACGCACCAAAGCAGCAGGAAGGAAATTTTTCTCGTGAACCTTCCACACCGCCCGAGCCGTACGTTGGAGACACGGTGGCGCAACCCGCAGGTGGACAAGGCTGCGACGTTGGTGCAAAAATAGAGCAAATGATTTCCTTGCAACAGCTTGCCTATGGCAGATCGGCTTTGCTGCAGGATGCGGAGGATGGAGAGAAGGAAGGCTCCAATTCCCCCACTGTTGTTGAGTTGAAGGAGGAAATTCTGCAAGACGATTTTAACGCGCGGTCATCGTCGCATTTGTCACCGTCTATGGTGCAGGTGGGCGTCTCAGTGTCTGTGCCCACGGGGGCAGAGAGCTCACTGGGTGATGGGGCCGTTTCACTTCGGGATGCTTCACCACCGCGATCTGGGGCGTGTTTTGTTCATTCTTCGTGCAAAACGGATCTTTACAATGTGGTTCAAATCCCACGGGCACACTACATCTTGTCTGAGGTAATTTCTCCCATTGGTAGAGTGTTCGGCTATCGTTTTTTTTTTTTTGTGTGTGTGTAACGTTGGTAGTGGTTGAAGATTGGCAAGGCCTTTTTGATTGTTAGAGGGCGACTGTCCTTTTGGTACGTTGGGAGGATGCGTTTTAATTAGTTTTTTTTTATTTTTTTGAACCTTTTTTTTTTCCTTCTCTCTCTCTCTCTATATATATATATATATATTCTGTTTTTTTTTTTTTTTTTTTGCTGCATGACGTTTAATATGGCCATTGCCACTAGTGCCTACGCGTCTTCCACTGTTAACTAGCGGGCAAGGGGTCAGTATGCTGCGGCGAATTGGGACTACGCACGTCGTATCCCCATTATCGTCCTTTTTCTCTTCTGTTGCAAGTGCTCGACGTCTGCAGATGACGGCCGTTTCTGCTTCGCAAGCGAGGGAGCACGCTGATGCACCGGAAGCTGTGGAGATGAATTTCCTTCAGGCCATTAATTCCGCGCTCGACCTGGCGCTCTCCAGAGACGAAAAAACGGTTGTATTTGGAGAAGATGTTGCCTTTGGGGGTGTTTTTCGATGCACACTCAATCTGTCGAAGAAGTATGGCTCACAGCGGGTGTTTGATTCTCCACTGAGTGAGCAAGGCCTTGTGGGGTTTGCCATTGGAATGGCCTCTGCTGGGTGGAAGCCCATAGCGGAGGTACAGTTTGCCGATTACATATTTCCAGCTTTTGATCAGATTGTAAATGAAGCGGCGAAGATGCGGTTTCGCTCCGGTGGCCATTTTCACTGCGGGGGTCTCGTCATCCGGTCACCGAGCTCTGCCGTCGGGCATGGGGGACTTTACCATTCGCAGAGTGTGGAGGGGTTTTTTAACCACTGCGCGGGCATAAAGATTGTAATGCCATCTACACCGTCGGACGCAAAGGGTTTACTGCTGCAGTGTGTGGAAGAGGAGGACCCGTGCATCTTTTTTGAACCCAAACGCCTTTATCGCTCCATGGTGGAGCCAGTGGACCCTGGATATTACACGATTCCTCTCGGTAAAGGTAAAATTCTGTGCGAAGGGAGGGATGTAACGATTGTTACGTATGGAGCACAGGTGGGTGTGGCAATGAAGGCCGCCGAGCGCGCCGCTCAGGAAGGCATCTCGGTGGAACTCATTGATCTCCGCTCTTTAAAGCCGTGGGATCGTGAAATGGTGACGCAGTCTGTACGGAAAACAGGTCGAGTAATTGTGACTCATGAGGCTCCCAAGACAAGCGGGATTGGCTCGGAGATTGTTTCTTGCATCACACAGGATTGTTTCCTCTCTTTGGAGGCTCCACCCATGCGCGTTTGCTGTCTTGATACTCCCCATCCTCTGAACGAGCGACTGTACCTACCAAATGAACTAAAGGTTTGCGAGGCGATTAAATATATTACGGGTTACTAACCGCGGCATTTGACTGCTTCACATCCTTTTTTTTTTTTTGTTCTTCTTCTTTGGTTTCTTTTTGTTGTTCTTTTGTAAAGTTTTTTTTTTTTCTTTTTGGTATTTTGTCGGCGTTCGTGCTGAAAAGTTTGTGGTGGGAAGATTGATTGGCACTGAATTTATCTTAAGCATTTCATCTTGTTGGGTGTGTAAAAAAAACGGTGCTCAACGAGGTGTATCTGTGTCGGCAGGGAGGGTTCGAGCGAAATCGAAAGAGCGAAGGAAAGTTGTGCCGTTTCTATTGCGTTTTTTGCGTTCACTTTTTGAACGCGGGGATGTTTGCGGCTTTCTGTTTTTTTTTTTTTTTGTTTTGTATTCTTTTCTAATTTCGTTTTTTTGTGCTTTTGCTTTGGAAGATGTGTAGAACGGGGGAGGGGGATGAGTAGAACGGCATTTTTACGGCGGAGGGAAGTTGGCTGCCGCCAGGGTTTCTGGTTGGACGAGGTGAGTTTTGCGTTCTCCCCGCGCCCTGTGCGGAGAGACCCCGATGAGAACCCCAACTCAAGTCACATGAGTTCAGGTCGTCATTCCCTTGTTGTTGCTGAGCGCATATCGGGTGACCCCCAGAGTAACAAGAAAAAAAAAAACCTACACATAGAATTTGCCTTCGAAGGAGATTTCCTCCTACGCGCAGGAGAATGCCACCGAGGAACAGTGCGACGTGTCCCCCAAATGGTACACACATTCATTCATCAACGTCCCGCCGTCGCCGATTCCACGACGGCCGAGAGTCAGTCCGCCGAAAAAGCGGACGACGCCCCGATAAGATTACCACCGGTTGAATTTTGCCATCCGGCACGCGGCTTTTAGCGCCACAGCAGTGACGGATTGATCCACCGCCACACGACACGTTATGGGTGTCGACCGGACATCGTGAAAACTGGCCAACATGAACTGTGCGATGAAACAAGTCCGCATTCACTCCGCTGCCCGTCTCCGCAGGCAATCGTAGGAAAAAAAGAGGGGTGAACACTGTAGAAGTGGGGAAGCTTTGCTTCACCAAGAGGTTGGCGCAGTTTCTTCTTGGCGTGAAAATGTTCTCTCCCAGCAATCTTTCCGCGCAACGGGAAGGCGCGAAGCCCCTGGTAGGTGCAGCATAACGTCGATGCTCGTGGCAGACCCTTTGCTCTTTTCTTAATTTATTGACTGCCAGGTTTACGGAATTATTGCTTTGTTCTTTCATTGGTTCTTGGCAACAACGGATTATTGAGCCACCGCGCCAGCTCGAGGGAGGATGCATAGCAGGTGTGTGTTTCACTCCTTCTCCACGTGACGGAACTCTCCTTCACATCTCTACTTGTTGGGCGGATGTGCTTGACGGTGGTGGCTGGCGTGCGGGCCGTGGGATCCATTTGAGAAAAGTCAATGTAAAAGAAGTAACGCCCGCCGCACGGTGTTGCGTTTTTTGTCTGGGTTGCGGCGCCTCCTCTTCGTATTGCAATGTTTGTTGGAGCGCTTGTTGTATTTTCATTGTGCTTGCGCTGAGCAACCTACTTTGCTTGGTCATGGCAACAGCAGTGGGACTCTGTGGCTGCGTGTTCGTCGCACGTGTCGCATTTCCCGCTGTTGCTCCCTTGCTGTGTTGGTGGGGGAGGAGGCAGGCGACTGCGTTGGTGAAGTGGCTCCCCAGTGGGAGGGGGAAGGCATTGACCGCACTATCGATGTGGACCCTTGTCTCCCATGTTTGAGTACTGCCGCCGTGCTTTTTCTTTTTATCCCTGTGTATGCCATGCGCGTATGACTTCGCTGTTTGTTGGGCAGTGCCGGCCTATCGGTGACGCTAGCGGTGCCAATGGTCATTTGCCTCTTTGCCGGGATCCTGCTACTCTGAATGGTGGTTGTGTGGGGCTGCATGGGCGGTGGGAGGGCGATGGCGTCAGTGACTTGATTGCGTTTGCGCAGCTTTGTGTCAGTGGTTGTGCTTTGTTTGGGACTGTTTTTGATCGGATGCCTCTGCGTACCACTACAAGAGTGAGAGTGAGCTTATGCGGTACATTCACCGTCTTCATGGAAAAGATTATGGTCTCACGCATGGTTGTGTGCCCTTGGGTTCTTGTACCATGAAACTTAGTCCAGCTGCCGCCATGTTGTCCTTGTCGTGGCCAGAATTTACCAACCTTCACCCTCTTGCACCGAAGGAGCAAACGCGAGGACATAGTGCGTTGTGTTTGGATCTGGAGCAGAAAATAAGGGATATTACCGCTTTAGATGCCGTGTCACTTCAGCCAAATAGTGGTGCTCAGGGTGAATATTGCTGGTCTTCGTGTGATCCGCTCGTATCATAATTCAAAAAAGGAGAGCCATCGCAATGTTTGCTTGATTCCGGAAAGTGCTCATGGCACAAATTTTGCTTCGGCTCTCTTGGCAGGGATGGTGATTGTAAAGATAAAGTGGCGGATGGAAGGATTGACATGAAGGATTTGGAAAACTCTTGCCAAAAGCATACAAAGAATCTCTCGTGCATTGTGATAACGTATCCGAAGTACGTATGGTTTGTTTGACAGGGAAATCTTGGCCATTACTTCGATGGTGCACTACGATGGAGGGCAATGTTATATTGATGGTGCAAAGACGAATGCCATGGTGGGTTACACGGCACCTGGATGTATTGGGGGCGATGTGTGCCAGATTAATCTCCACAAAACGTTTTCAATTCCTCGTGGTGGTGGTGGGCCAGGCATGGTCCTATTGCTGTTCGTCAGCACCTGGCTTCATTCTTGCCAGATTCTGTTTTTATTCAAAATGTTGGTGGTTCCCAGCCTTTTGGTCAAGTCTCTCAAGCAGCATACGGATCAGCGTCTATTCCTCCAGTTTCTTATTTATTACTGTGGATGCTCGGTTCACGGGGTCTCAAGACATGCACGGTGTATGCGATTTTAAATGCCAACTATCTAAAGAAGCGTCCTGACGGCCACTGCCCAGTTCTCTTTCTAGGGGAAAACGATTTCTGCGCTCACGAGTTTATCATCGATTTAAGGCCCTTAAAAAAACAGCACAAATTGAGGCAGAAGATGTGGCGAAACGACTTATGGATTATGGCCTTCACTCACCTACTCTGGCATTTCCTGTTGCGGGAACACTCATGACTGAACCCACCGAGTCAGAGTCAAAGCGGGAGTTGGATCGGTTGGCCGATGCACTTATTTCCATTCGTACCGAAATTGCATCCATAGAGGAGGGTGAAGAGAGCACAACGAACAACGTTCTCAAGAATGCCCCGCACACGGCAAAGTGTGTCGCATCAGATGATTGGGACATGCCATACGCCCGGAAAACTGCTGCATTCCCTTCGAGCCATTCATCCACCGAAAAGTTTTGGCCTTCAGTTGGCCGCATCGATGGAAGCTATGGGGACAGAAACTTGATGTGCAGTTGTGCATTGACTAATTTTTGTGAGTAAAACTGTTGCAGTGGGAGGCAGTATTTTTTATTTATTTGTTACCAATTTTATATTTTTATTTGTTTCTGCATCCGTTTCTTGGGTGATGGAGTGTTTTGGGCCTATTTGTGTCTGGTGTGATAAAACTGAGCAGGGGGAGAGGGATATGATTGTGTGTGAGTGTGTGTCTGTCTGTGTGGTCGCAGAATGATTTTA